ACATCACGGATTTTCAAAACAAGAATAGCTGATTAACAGCTATTAACAGCTATTTTTTATTACCAAATCTGCTACTCAGATGAACAGGTATAGTTATGTAAGATGGGACATGTGATTGAATATTACCACATGCTTTCAAGGAAACTTAACTTTTTTTTGTATCTCATTTTCTTTTATAATCATTTTTAAAAATTAAAGAGAGTATAGCAATAATTAATATGACATTAGAAATGGTACACATTTAGAAGACCAAGATAACCCGTATTTCAAGCATGGTTTTAGTATTACACATTGCTGTTCTCAATGTAGTTAATTAGTTCACAGATATCAGCATAGAGAGTTACAACACTGAGATACCATCTCACCTCAGAAAGAATGGTTATTATAAAGAAATCAACAAACAACAAATGTTGGAAAGACCGGGGTCGGGGGAAAGAATTCTTCTACGCTACTGGTGGGAATGTAGAGTGGTACAACCATTATTGAAATCAGTGTGGAGCCTCCTCATGAAACTAAGACTGGAAATCCCATTCAATCCAGCTATTCCCCATTCTAGGAATTTGCACCAAAGAACTGAAAACATCATATCATAGTGGTATATGTGCGCCCAGGTTTATTGCTATAAATATCAATATGTGATAGCCAAATCTTGGAAACAACCAAAATGCCCAACGTCTGATGAATTGATGAAAAAGATGTTGTGTTTTTATACAATGGAGTATTATTCAGCTATAAAGAAAAATGTACTTGAAGTCTTCACAGCTACATGGATGCAACATGAGTTTCATAAGTGAAATAAACCAGACCCACATGGGTAAATATCATATTGTCTCCCCAGTGTAAGAACTCAAAAGAAGAAATAAAAACTGAAAGCTATAATAGACACAGTTAAATGGAAAGTAACAGAACTTAAGGATTAAATAATGAAGAGCAAGAAAGGAAAAAAGATAGGAAATAGGGAAGGGGTGAAACCATGCATGTATATGTATAAGATGGCTAAGGCAAAAGGTTTTTTGAAAATAACAATTAATGAGTAAAATTCTTACTTGATGGTATTTTTAAAACATATAAATTTGATGAAATACAATTGGGTAAACACATCAAATTAAAAGTATGTATTTAATTGACATAACTGTTCTTCCTATTATCTTAGTACAGCCTAAGAAAATAGTCAAACAAGGGGACATACTGTAGTATCAGGATATTCAAAGCAGGGCTTTTAGCAATTGCAAGACAATTGGAAACATCCCAACTGTTAATCAATGGGGATTAATTTAAACAAATTGTTATGTATTCTTGCAGTAAAATAACCATGCAGCTATATTCTTCAAAGTAATGATAGCTGTTGTAAACACACACACACACACACACACACACACACACACACACACACACACACTCAACATGTCCACATGATAGAAGTTTAATTATCTTCCATGTGAAGTACAAAAGGAACTCTCCAATCTTTCATCTCTGCTTGAAAATTTGCCAAGTCTTTCTTCACCTTATCTCTTTTCTTATAAAAACTGGCTCAGATGAGATACTGGTAGCCATCACGTACTGACATCATACTGACGTCTCAGCAATTGCTCTGAGTTCACAGTCTCAGTGTAGACCCAGTCAGCTTTCTGAGGTATCGAAGGCAACAGTCTGACTAAATGTTTTGCTAAGACAGATTGAGGAGCTCAGCCTTCAAGACTGCTGGTTTTTCTGCCACCTGTCATTGCCAAATGCCATATATTTAAGATTTTGATTATAGAAGCTGTCTACTTCAAAATGCCAATTTCTTTCAAAGTTGTAATAATGCTAGCTGTTGCTGGAATGAACACTACAAATGAGTGATGACTCAAACATGAAAGAGACATACTTGTCCTCACGGAAGCCCAACACACACTTCTCAAGTGGTGAGCAGCACTCTTCTCAGCAGCACTTTGAGGGCCCACTAGCCTTTTAAGTAGTAGTTTGTTCAGCCCAGGCTTCCTGGTCATCAGCTGAAGAGAAAGAGGGAAGCACACCTGCCTCTTGGGCCCCCCAGCCTGGGAGCAATGTGTATCCTTCCATGCATATTCATCTTGATTGTCATCTTCAGTGGATGAAGAGATTCCTGCAGACACCCTGAGGGCTCTGACCTCATCAATGGGCTAGCCCATTGATAACTTCGTAGCTGAACGGACTACTCCAGGGTGGAGCCCAGTTGGAGGAAGTGGACAATGGTGATGAGCTTAGGCAGTAAATACACATGATTGAGAAACACACTGAATGTGCACAAAAAAACTCCAAAAATAAAAATAAAAACACAGGAAATGTTTACTTGAAAGCATTTATACAGTAAAAGACATATTGCTATTAGTTGCCTACGAAATGTTCCACCTTTCCTCCAACACCCTTATGCTATCATTCTTCCCACTTTCCCAAATTGTGAAGGGTTTTTTGTGTCTTTAATTGCACTATTGTGGCTTCCTCAGTATCCTGCATCCATTCAAAATCCTTACCTTTATGGTCCTCTATACTTTGGGGAAGAGCCAGCAGTCACGTGGTGCCAGACCTGGTGCCTAAGGTGGATGAGGATGCACTGTGACGTTCTTACAAGCCTGGTTTCCCTCTTTATTTGTATAATAACACCTTGAGAGGAAATCTGGTTTCTCTAGGTCAACAAGTTATTAAGATAATATTAAATATGTAGTTACAGTTATTCTTGAGTACACATATATAGACAGAGAGAGAGAGAGAGAGAGAGAGAGAGAGAGAGAGAGAGAGAGATTTCAAACCAGAGTTGGTAGCAGTATCTGTATTAGATTGAAATGTTTTTTTCTACTATTTTTATTTGCTATATGCATTTGTCCATGATGAGCCCAATATTAATTCTATAGTAGGAATAGATAAAAAACAACGAAAGCCATTTAGCAAATAGATTTTTGCTAGTCCCTTTCCGGGGGAGAAATTTTACCACATTCATGTGCCCTTTCCAGGTTGGCATTGTTATGCCAGGGGCTGGAGCACAGGGTGAAGGGCACAGGATCCCTGCACTCCTGAGCAGTTGCTAGCAGCATTCAGGGGGCGGTGCACACAGACAGAGGAAAGGCGGGCGAGCAGCCCCTTTGTTTCCCTGCATCATCTTACCCTTTAGGCCAGATCACATGGCACCAGGGTCCGTGTTCCCCAGGGAAATGATCTCTTGCATTTAAAGTGAGAGCCGAGAGGAGGGCAAAGGTAATAAGAAGCAGAGCTGAAATTCTTAATAGGAAATGCCTGGTGGAGCCCAGAGAGGGAAAGGGCGAGAACTGTGGGTTTTAAGGTTGTTTGCAAATCAAACTCATTTTCCCTTCTAGATCCACATAATAATTACTTATTTCTGAGGAAAAGGAATTCTAGAATATTTCTGAAGAAGATCAATATAGGCAAGCAGGTAGCTGTTTACTCACAGGGTAAGTGCTTTCTTGAGCTCAGGATAGCGCATTCTCTGTGTACAAGCTCTAAGAAGGAGTAAGATAGGAGTACAGTGAATTTGCTCCACCTAAGAAGGAGTGTCGAACTCTTGCTCACCTCAGAGCCCTGGTATCTAAGTCAGAACCTAGTGGGCCCTGGTGCCGACCAGCGCACAATGGTCACATTCAGAGCCCTGACCGAGAAACCATCTGTACACCAAATAAGAACTTGTAGCGATGAAGCATTGAATAAGGAGTAAGTCATTAGCACATGGAAGAAGTCAAATGATGGTGTAGGAAGTGAGAGTCTTTCAAAGGCCAGTGACAAGACACCCTGAAGCATCACACACCCTCCCTTCTGCCATCTTTGTCCCTTCCTTCTGATGACCGGCTTGTGAGACTATGATTCAAGATCTTGTGTCAGGGAGGTGAACAGACGGTCCTGGCCCCACATGTCAGGGCTTCTCCTCAGTGTCCCTCAGCCTGCACAGTGAGGTCACCCTCAATTCATCAGCCTGCCGGCTGCTTGGCTCATGTAAAGGCATGTACACTGCGAGGTAGAGGAGATGGCTTGACACGTCTGTGATTGAGTCCTGGTCTACTTCATTACTATGCAAGAAATAGTTTCCACACAATGTCTGTGCCGCTCAGGCTAGGCCATCTACCCGAAATCCTGGTGGTCCAGGCTGCCAAGTACTTCTTTTGCTCTCAGACAAACTCTGCTGGGGTTTGGGCAACTTTCCAGGGTGGCCGTTCCCCATGCAGTGACCCAGTGATTCAAGCTGCTTTGATCTTCCAGCTCTGCCAGGGCAGCATAAGTGCTCCGTGATCGGCACAGCGGGGAAGGGAGTGCTCGGAGAATCCATGCTTACTTCTCTATGCGTTAGCCCATAAGTGATGTATGTCACTTCCAACTGTAGTCCACTGATTGGCATATGTCCCATGCATGACCCCACCTACCTAATGAGGGTGTGAGAAATGTAGCTAAGCCCTTGAATATTTGGAGCATTGTTTTTTTGTTTTTTTTTTTGAAGGTCTGGGTGTTGTTTATTGACAGCGCGGTTTACACATTTACTTTCTTCCCATGATTGATTCCTTGGGGCCCCAGCGCACCCGGGGAGGAGCGGAACACAGGATGCTTCAGGCGGGGATTCCGCCAGGCACTGGGGCGAAGCCTCCGGCAGGACGTATCTGGGCCCCTCTCGCTCGAGATCCAGGTCCATCCTGGTGCTAGGACCCCAGGGGACAGCGAGGTGCGGCCCACCCACCTCCGCGGGGGTAGATTCCCACACATCTGTAGGGCCCCATTCCAGGGAGCTGCCTCCTTCCACTGGTCCTTGAATCGTCACTAAAGGACAGGGAGGGGGCTCCGGCCTCCTGGGAAGGCCAGCAGCGCGCCCCTATTCCTTGCCACACTGCCCCGCCTTTATCCTGCCACTGTCAGTGCCCTGCCAGTGCCCAGGCCAGGGCGCCCGCAGCCGGAGCCGCTCTTTGGCGCCATGTGACAACTTCTGGTAGGGAGGTGGATAAAAAAATAGATGGGCACGGGAAGAACCAAAGAGCTTCGTTGGAGAATCGGAGGGTGGAAGTGATTTTGCTTTTATTTCTGTCACTCTAGCTCAATCATGAAATGTCACAGTGATTCATTTCTGGGGGGACGGAAGAAGGCGCCGTGCGTGCCTGCGTTTCTTCGGGGTGCGGGGCCGGCTCACTGCGGCAGCTGCAGGAGCACCGACTGACCCGCCGGCAGGTAGGTGATGTTGCGTGAGCGGGACAGCTGGTGCGCGATGTCCTCGGCGGCTTCCAGCTTGCGCAGCTCGATCAGGCCGTCGCCCGCAGTGGCCAGTGAGTTGGCGATTAGCTCGGCTGCCTTGGAGTCGCCTTCTGCAGAGATGATGGCCGCCTTCTTCTGCCGCTCGGCCTTTTCCACCACAAATCTGGCCCTCTCCGCTTCCTGCTGAGCCACCTGTTTGGCTTCCACGGCTTCTGTGAACTCCTTGCCGAAGGTCAGATGCGTCAGGGATACATCATCCAGGATGTGGCTGAAGGTGGCTGCCCGCTCCGTGAGGTCGTCGCTCACCTGCCTGGAGACCAGCTCTCTCTGGGTGATCAGCTCACCGGCATCGAAGCGAGCCACCACGGACTTGAGGATCTCAGTGGTGATGGACGGCAGCACGCGCTCATCATAATCCTCACCGATGCTGGTGAAGATGTGGGGCAACTGGCTGGCGACGGGCCGGAAGAGGATGCGCAGGGTTATGTTGACATTCTGCATGGAGAATTGTTATCACTGACCTTCCTTTCATTTTTCTTCACTATTTCTCAGGAGACACTAGATTAGGTACAAGCAATGTGGAGCACTTTTACTGGGCTGAATTCCTGTTGGCATTGCCAAAGCACCTGCTGCCTTGTGCGGGGTACACTAGTGACCTGTACTTATTCAACACCCCTGGTCTTCTTTCCCCACAAGAACACAGTTGGGCTTCTCTATCTTGAGGTTCAGTGTCTCTAAATTCAAGCAGGCTTAAAGTCTTTTAAAAAATAAAAGAAGTGTCTGTACTGAACTTGTACAGACTTTTTTCTGGTCTGTATTCTCTAAACAATATAATGTACAAACTATTTACACAACATTTATTTATATTAGGCATGATAAATACTTGAGAGATGACTGAGAGTACACAAGAGGACATGAGGAATACACACAAATTCTCTGCCTCGAAACATGGTACCTTGGAGGTCTACGGCCCAGGCCAACTCTATAAATAAGCATCTAACACAGGAATACCATGTTCTCTTGCCACATACAGAGTCAGTACCATGGGGCAGGATGGATTAGGATGACAGAATTTCTATCTTTGCTCTTGTTTGGCCTAGTAAGAAAAACAGACAAATTAAGGTTCAATTGTTCTTATTTTTAAACCTCAAGTCATAAATAAAATGAAGGACGCTGACAGAGGTTTAGGAAAGATAAATTCACTCACATTAGCAAACCCAGGAAAGCTTCTAAGAGATGAAGCCCTTTGAATCAGAGGAGAACACTGGGAAGAGTGGAGAACAGTGAAAAGGAACCCAAAGCAGATCCTCAATTTTCTTCTGGAACAAGAATCCCAGAGGCAGGGTGGGCTGGGTTGAACTGGGAACAGGGACAGTGGTAGGAAGGCTGCAAAGTGGGGGCTGCTCTACCATAAAGGTCTGTCTAGCCCTTTCCCAACAAGACCTTCCTGTACCTGACTGATGTGACCCTAGAATGTGGAAATAAGGATCTGCTTGGTAGCGCATGGACTCAATTCCCCCACTGCCAGCATCTACTTAAACACAGGGCTCAGAACCCCAAAGAACAGCAAAGAGCTCATTTGCTTCCCTGGTCTGGAGCCAGCTGGCAAAGTATCGAGCAAGTGAAATCAATGCAGTGTGACTTGCACAGGTCACCTCAGTCCTCTAAAGGCCCTTCCATCTGCACCTATGGCTGTGCTCAGCATCCCATGCAGCATCCCCCTGGCCACCTCCCATCCTGCTTCCAGCTCTTGCCTGGGGAAAGAAGCCCGCCAGACTTCTCACCTCTGCGTGCTCTTAGACTTCAGAACCTATTGGCGCCCAAGATTCCCCAGCCTGGGGTTTCAGGGCTTGGCAAGGAGGTAGAATTAAATACATGGCAGATGTGCTCATGGTCAAGGGGCTTTCATTCTTTTGCTGATTTGCAGTTTCCCTGACAGTCTTTCTCTCTCCAACTCCTCTGATTAGTTCCCATCCCATCACACCATGAGGTCTTGAGGTCCGTGAATTTAACTTTGAGCACATGACGAAGTCCGACAAGCCTGCCAGTGTCAGGGGCCCAAGAGCTACAAAAGGTAGAATACAATGGCATCAGCATCTGGTGACAGGAGAAACCAGTCACAGGGGAGTTTATCTTGGGAGGTGACAGGCAGTGATAGGTGCTGCAGAGTCTTAATGTCAACCAGTATCTTGGCAGTTGAAGCTCCGCTCACTTAGGGCCAGCACATTATCAACTGGGCTTGTGCCCTGAGGAATAGATGTGTCTGTTACTAGTCTAAGGGGCCTGGGACACTAGCATAATGAATGCTGAGCCACATAGCAACAATGACTGCAACCCCGAGATGAATTGTTTGAGGAGCAAGTCATATCAGAGTGACTTTTAAATAGCTGTTCTTTTCAGCCTTCTGTTTTTCAACTGGGCAGCCATTCCCAGCTTAAATGCCACTCTCTGTCTCTTAAGGGAGTATGAATTCAGAGTTCTGTGTGTTCAGAAAACCATATGCTTCTTTTCCAGTCTTAGACCACATCATCAATTTTGATAATGGCAAATGACTACTATGTTTGCATACAGTAATTCTACATAAAAGGGTAGGCTGTCTACAGACTGCTGCTGTCTTTAGAAACCACCTCATAGCTCCTGTCCTGAGACAGCAGAGGCACAGCTATAGAGGCAAATGGTGCTCTATAACATATTTGTCTCATACCAGTACTATAGTTACAAGGGGGAAATACTCGGTGCCAAAGAATTGGTTTTGCTCTCTTCTAGTAAGCAACTAACACTTCTTAACAAAGCAGTCCTGGCCAGTGTTAATGAAGGAATATTTCCAGGCTAAGCAAGATCTCCAAATACATGCACCTCTCCTGAGTGCAGCCTATGAGTGTTACCTGTATGGCCAAAGGACCTTAGCAGATCACATTAAGGATCTCTGATAGTTATTATCCTGAATGTCATCACAACTGTTCTTACAAGAAGGAGCAGAGGGAGCTTTGACTACAAGAGAGAGGATGACTGTGACTGTAGAACCAGAGACTGGAGTGGTGCAGCCACAAGCCAAGCCACTCATCAGCCCCAAGAAGGTAGAAAAGGTGAGGAAGAAATTCTTCCTAAGGCCTCTGGAAGAAGCCAGCCCTCCTGATATCTCAATTTTAACCTAAAAAAAAATTGATTTTATGTGTCTGGCCTCTAGAACTGTAAGAGAGTACAGTTGACTAGTCTTACTTAGCTGCTTAGATTGTGTTAATTTCTTAGAGCAATTTTAGGAAATGAACACACCATTGTGCATCCATAAGGCCATGTTCAAGATGAAGCTTGGCTATGGAGCCATGTCCCATGTTTCTGATGCATAGTTTTTTGCAATGGATATGTGAGGGACTATCTATTAGATGTGCACTAGTATAGATTTGATAGTGTAAAACTGAGGACCGTCTACTTGGCTTGTTTATAACCAAGTGTTTTTTTAAAGCAGCGATGACAAATGAGCCTTCTGGAACTCAGGAACTTTCGCTTGTGCAGCAGCACAGGTTCTAGTTAGAGCCCCTCCTAGAGCTTTGGCCAATCAGAAGGCACAGGGTCAGGTGCCCCTGTGTGCTGCTTCAGAAGTGAGCACTGAGTGTAATCTGGAGCATCTAGCATTGGTGCTGATGGGGCATGAGTCCTCCAGCTGCCCACAGTGCCCTCCGGAGGCCCAATAGGATGCCCACTGTCCTGCCACCACACATTCCTGAGAAGGCTCCTTTTTGTGCTATTTTCATCTCCAAATCAGAACTTCCCTCAGCCTTCACTGACATCTTATGTGTCTCTATAAACACATTGGGAGTGGGACACACATTGTGATTCGCCTTAGGCCCCGTGAACCCTAGGGACATTCTTGGATCCTCCATCCTTGGACTGCACACAATTGTTCGAGTTACGTAGGAGCAGGAGAATTCGCAGACTTATCCACAAAGCGTATGGTCAGAGAGGAAGAATGCAACAAAGACAGGGAACATCAGCAATGTGATCTCATTCGGTCCTTGTAACCCTCCTACATTGAGCATCATGTCGCAAATTCATAGAGCCACGGAGAAGCAAAGAAACTTTTTAAGTTTCTTTCTCAAAATCGCCCACTTCGGTGGCAGAGCTGTGCTCCCAGACCAGCCTGGATCAAGTCCAAGGTTCTTGTTTTTCACGACATGATTTTGAAGGCAGCGCAGGTTCCTGAACAAAATGTTCCGGGCATTCCCAACTCCTCGAAGAGGAGGGGAAATCCATTCAGGACAGTGCTCCCAAGTGACCAGAGACCAAAGAGGCTTGTTTTGAAAAGCAAAGCTTTTCTTTCAAATGGTGCTCTCTGTCCAGTTCATTCCTGAAGAACTGCCTTGGCTCGCAGGGCTGTGTGGCCTCTCCTGGGGCTGTCCACATGGTCTCGCCCCTGTGATAGCCCTGCCCCAGTGATACGCGATCTCCAGCAGCTGTCCCGGAGCTTCACTCCTGTCCCCTTTCTTCTTCCTGCCTCCAGTTGTCCCCCAGCTCAGCCTCGCCCTCCCCTGCCCTATGACAGGGCTCTGAGCTCCAAAAGCCAGGCGCAGAATAAGTGGTCTCTCCTGGGGGAAAAAGTGTTTTCCACCACATTGACCATGAAGATCACGCTGAGAACGAATGGTGAAGATGAATATCCAAGGATCTATCGAAAACTGGCCGGCCGTGGTGGGGAAAGGGAGAAAGCTGGAGTTGAGTTTATGAAAGTTTTCCACTAAAGTCAGCAACGGCTTAAATTCAAACCAGGCACAAGACACTTGACTCTCCATATGAGTTGTTCATCAAAGGACCAAGAGAAAGGAAATCTGAGCCCGAGCAGGATCTGCCTGAAAGCTTTCAAGTGATTCCTTTCAGTATGGAAACTATTTCCTTTGTACACGCTCAGGAACACACAGCCGGCTCTTTTGGAGCCTGGTTCACACTCAATTCAGGTCACAGTTCTTGTGACCAGTTTTTTTTTTTTTTTTTCAAGTCTTAAGTATGAAAATGTCTACTGTTCACACCCATGTGGCCCAAGCACACAGACACACAGACACAGACACACACACAGACACACACACACACACACACACACACACACACACAATTATAAATAGCAGCACCTTGTTTACTCATGCCGGAACCTGTATAACTTAGACATTGAATCTGGGCTTAATAAAGCAGGCAAGCACTGGGGTGTGCAGCTGTCAGGTAAAAAGCAAATAAAGCAGGTGAGCGCTGTTGCTGCAGGGGCTGTTAGGGTTATCTGTGACTATATGTTAAAAATCAAAGAAAGTCATATGTTATGGTGTCGCTCATGTGCCTTAAATAAAAACAAGCTTGGAGCTTAAGTGTAGATTTGTCTACCAAGGAAAGCCAGCTGTTTACCCAGGATTCCCCCAGTAAAGTCAAGGAGGAGTAGCCCAGCTCCCTGGGGAAACGAGTCTTAGGCGTCTCCACCTTGGGCTGCCTCTCTTTCAGCTGTGCACTTGGACAGATGGCTC